TATTTCCATTGCTTATACCGACTATTTTTTTATCCACTTTCTGCTATGGTTGCCCACCATTGCTTTTATTTGTTATCACATGTGCCCTGATCTGCTGGAGTGGATCCCAGTCTTCTACCACTCAAACATTTCATGTATACAGATAACACACTCACATAAGAGAAGATGTCCATGATAGAGGTCTGGTCAAACCTTCGACCCTTTACAAATCACATGTAACTTTGTAAATGGTCAAGTTGGACCGAAACATTGTTATGACACTTTCCTCCTATTTGCAGGTTATTTGTATTTGTTCCAGTCAGGGTATGCATTTTTCTGTTTCTCAACATCACTGCTGGCATTTCATTAACTGTTATTAACATTACTATAGCCTGGGCTCACCCCTTCAGTTACCGCCGAAACCTCTACTTCCTGTAATCTCTCTATGTACATATTTTCCTTTTATAAAAAATGGTTTGAGGAAAAGATTAGTTAATGCAGAAACATTACTTGTATAGTTTCAAGAATTCTTACCTAACCTACCTGCAGTCTGGCTCTGAGCCCCGTTTCTGGTCTGGTGTCTGCCCAGTCATACTAGGCTCTTCACTGATTTTTAAAGAAAAAGACTAGTAAGCCTGAGCCTGTCACAGACGGGCCCAACAGGGGGCGTTGATCCCCGAACCTCTCCAGGTAACTCCATGTAAAGGCCTGGGTCAAGATCCAAAAATCTGTGGCAGTACTGATGATAAGATCATGCATCAAAAAACTTTACCTATTCCCTGATGATTCTTACCTAACTAAACCTACACAAGGCTGTTGCTGGGCTTGTTGCCAATCTTAAAGTACCAGCTGATGTATTTAAATAAAAAAAATCTTGGCACGTACTACAAGTGCTCCTTAACTACAATGGGGTTATGTTCCGATGAACCCATCCTGAGTCATTAAAAGTATCATAATTCAAATATGAATATTTGATAAATAAACAAGTAAATAAATAACTACCATCACTGAATAAATAAATACACAAATAATTACCGCAACTAAATACCAGTATTAAAAACTAAATAAATGAACACAAGGCTATCAATTCTCCATGGGGAAGTTGAACAGAATTCTTCCTCTGTAAGTCATGCATGTCGTAAGAGGTGATTAAAATGCTGGGAGCAAGGGGCTAGTAACCCCCTTCCCCTGTATATACAGTCGACCCCCGGTTTACGATCAGTTCCCAATGCGACCAATTATGTAAGTGTATTTATGAAAGTGTGTTTGTATGTGTATGTTTCGGGGTCTGAAATGGACTAATCTAATTCACAATATTCCTTATGGGAACAAATTCAGTCAGTACTGGCACCTGAACATACTTCTGGAATGAAATAATATCGTGAACCGGGGGTCCACTGTATCACTAAATTTCAAGGAAAAACTTTCGTTTTAACTTTTGAGCCGCCACACCTTGGTGGGATACAACTTGTTTCTTGAACATAAGAACATAAGAACCTAGGTAGTAGGTTGGTAGACAGCAACCGCCCAGGGAGGTACTACCGTCCTACCAAGTGAGTGTAAAACGAAAGCCTGTAATTGTTTTACATGATGGTAGGATTGCTGGTGTCCTTTTTTCTGTCTCATAAACATGTAAGATTTCAGGTACGTCTTGCTACTTCTACTTACATTTAGGCCACACTACACATACATGTACAAGCATATACAGTGGACCCCCGGTATTTGATGGCATCGGCATCCGATAAATCCGGTATTCGATGCATTTTAACGCAAAAATTTTGCCTCGGTATCCGATCGAAAACCCGGTATTCAATGCGATTCGTACGAGACGTGTCCACGTGTGGCCTGAACTGCCGCATGTGTGCCAGTGTTTACAAGCCAGGCAGTGTGCGTGCATCTAAGGATACATTTGGTACATTCCATATCATCACTGTTTTTGGTGCTTGTTTCTGCAAAATAAGTAACCATGGGCCCCAAGAAAGCTTCTAGTGCCAACCCTTCGAGAAAAAAGGTGCTAATGACCATTGAAATGAAGAAAGAGATAATTGCAAAGTACGAAAGTGGAGTGCGTGTGTCGGAGCTGGCCAGGTTGTATAGTAAGCCCCAATCAACCATCTCTACTAAAGTGACCCGGAAAACGGCAATCAAGGAAGCTGTTCTTGCAAAAGGTGCAACTGTGATTACGAAACAGCGACCACAAGTGTTAGAAAATGTTGAGAGACTCTTATTGGTGTGGATAAATGAAAAACAGATAGCATCTCTCAAGCGATCATTTGTGAAAAGGCTAGGTAGTTGCATGACGATTTGGTAAAGAAATTGCCTGCAACTAGTGGTGATGTGAGTGAATTTAAGGCCAGCAAATGTTGGTTTGAAAGATTTAAGAATCATAGTGGCATACATAGTGTGATTAGGCATGGTGAGGCTGCCACTTCGGACCAAAAAGCAGCTGAAAAATATGTGAAGGAATTCAAGGATTACATAGACAGTGAAGAATTTAAACCTGAACAAGTGTTTAATTGCAATGAAACAGGCCTGTTTTGGAAGAAAATGCCAAACAGGACCTACATTACTCAGGAGGAAATGGCACTCCCAGGACATAAGCCTATGAAAGACAGGCTTACTCTGTTGATGTGTGCCAATGCTAGTGGTGATTACAAAGTGAAGCCTTTATTAGTGTATCACTCTGAAACTCCCAGAGTGTTCAGGAAAAACAATGTTGTCAAGGCTAATTTGTGTGTGCTGTGGAGGGCAAACAGTTAGGCATGGGTCACTAGGGACTTTTTCTATGACTGGTTACACCATGCATTTGCCCCCACTGTGAAAAATTACCTAACTGAAAAGAAATTAGACCTTAAGTGCCTCCTGGTATTAGACAATGCCCCTGATCATCCTACAGACTTGGCAGAGCGACTTTCTGCGGACATGAGCTTCATTAAGGCCAAGTTTTTGCCTCCTAATACCACTCCTCTCCTGCAGCCCATGGACCAGCAGGTTATTGCAAACTTCAAAAAACTGTACACAAAAGCTATGTTTCAAAAGTGCTTTGTAGTGACCTCAGAAACTCAATTGACTCTAAAAGAGTTTTGGAGAGATCACTTTAATATCCTCAATTCTGTAAACCTTATAGGTAAGGCTTGGGAGGGAGTGACTAAGAGGACCTTGAACTCTGCCTGGAAAAAACCGTGGCCAGAATGTGTAGACAAAAGGGATTTTGAAGGGTTTGATTCTAATCCTGGGAATCCTATGCCAGTTGAGGAATCCATTGTGGCATTGGGGAAGTCCTTGGGGTTGGAGGTTAGTGGGGAGGGATGTGGAAGAGTTGGTGGAGGAGGACAATGATGTACTAACCACTGATGAGCTGCTAGATCATCTTCAACAGCAAGAGGCCACACCTGAGGAAACTGCTTCGGAGGAGGGGAGAGAGAAATTGAAGAAGTTGCCTACTTCAAAGATTAAGGAAATGTGTGCAGTGTGGCTTAAAGTGCAAACCTTCATGGATGAAAATCACCCTGACACAGCTATTGCAAGCTGTGCTGGTGACTATTACACTGACAATGTTGTGAAACACTTTAGGAAAGTCATAAAGGTATGAGAGGTACAGGCCTCTATGGACAGATATGTTGTGCGACAGAAGTCCAGTGACTCTCAACCTGGTCCTAGTGGCATTAAAAAAAGAAGGGAAGTAACCCCGGAAAAGGACTTGCTACCTCAAGTCCTAATGGAAGGGGATTCCCCTTCTAAACAGTAACAACTTCGACACTCTCCCCTCCTCCCATCCCATCAATCATCACCAGATCTTCATTAAAGGTAAGTGTCAATTATTCAATTGTTATTATTCTATTGTTATTATTGTTATTGTAATTATTCTATTGCATTAAACTTAATATTTCATGTGGGAAAATTTGTTTTTTCATACTTTTGGGTGTCTTGCATGGATTAATTTGATTTCCATTATTTCTTATGAGGAAAATTGATTCGCTTTTCAATATTTTCGGTATTTGATGAGCTCTCAGGAATGGATTAATATCGAATACCGGGGTCCACTGTATATACACGCACCCCTCTGGGTTTTCTGCTATTTTCTTTCTAGTTCTTGTTCTTGTTTATTTCCTCTTATCTCCATGGAAAAGTGGAACAATTCTTCCTCAGTAAGCTATGAGTGTCATAAGAGGTGACTAAAATGCCAGGAGCAAGGGGCTAGTAACCCCTTCTCCTGTATATATTTCTAAATTTAAAAGGAGAAACTTTTGTTTTTCCTTTTGGGCCACCCCGCCTCGGTGGTCCACCCCGCCTCGGTGGGATACGGCTGGTGTGTTGAAAGAAGAAAGAAGAACATAAGAAAGAAGGAACACTGCAACAGGCCTACTGACCCATGCAGAGCAGGTCCATGTCCCCCCCCCCCCAATTAGCCCAATGACCCACCCAGTCTGGTCACCTCCGATCAAGGAAGGAACAGCACCAGGCCCAGCAGCACAAGCTAGTCCGGTCAAACTCACACCCACTCATGTATTTATCTAACCATTTTTAAAACTGCGCATGGTTTTAGCCTCAATAACTGTACTGGGAGTTTGTTCCACTCATCCACAACTCTATTACCAAACCAGTACTTTCCCATATCCTTCCTGAATCTGAATTTTTCCAGTGAAAAGCAAAGAAATCCATCAATAAATATATGGTACTGAATGTGCATCGCTGTCACACCACTGTAATATCGAAATATCATAAGTCGAAACATCATAAAGTAAGGAGCATCTCTACTTTTTCTGATTACCCCCATTAATATATTGTACCTCATTCAATTGCTAAGAAAATCTAACTAAAAAGTAGGCATAATATACGCTAAGTCATATTTTTATAGACCTACTGTAATGCAATTACAATACTCTCAGTATAGTACTCAACACTAAAAAAAATCCATGCGAAGTCTGAGCCAGAGAAAACATGTCAAAGATGCATCAGAAATCCGCCAAGTATCAGTCGATTCACTGGTTGACATCTCGACGGACCACCGGGATACTAACCTGTTTTCTTAGTGGTCTTGACGGTGTGGGGGTCAGCACTCTTGTGAGAGGTGGTCTTTAGGGAAGTAGTGCTGAGGGAAGTGGTAGTGGTGGAAGTGGTGGTGGTCTTAGGGGTAGTAGTGGTGGTGGTAGACTTGGTGGTGGAGGTGGTAGTGGTGGTGGTGGTGCCTCTAGCGGCTGGCAGGCCTGCAATGAGACACACAAGATACACCACTGCTAAGCATCTAGCGACTAGAAGAGAATATTGTAGTGTTCTACAGACTAAATTGATCAAACTGCCTTAAGCACCCCATAAATTTCAACCATACAATAACAGTTGGAAAGGCCAGTGGACTATTTACGAACCAATAATATTAATCAAAATTTTGAAAACTTGATTCTACTGTATCAAAGTCAGTTAACATATAACTTGAAACTACTAAACGTAATGAATTAAAACCTTGATATTTGTAATATTTGTAATATTTTCATGACTTTTTAACTTTTCTGGCATTTTTAAGGAAATTTAATTTTTTTTTATTTAAAAGAATGATATTTTTGGTTACAAATTATTAATTTCAAGTCATGGAGTCTCTCTGATATTTTGTAATAGTATTTTCATATTTTTTTGATGCTTTTCTGGCATTTTTAAGGAAATTTTAATTTTTTTTATATTCAAAACAATATTTTTGATTATAAATTCTGATATTTCAAAAGACTCTGCGACAACAACAGTTTGCAAATCTTGCCATTTTTACGACAGTGTCAGTCGGGCCACAACTCTTTTCAATTTGTTCCATAAAACACCGACTTCCAATCTTGACAACACAAAGAACGTGATGACTGGGTACTACACTTCGTATTCAACGTATTATAAGTTAATACAGGATTTACACTAATTCTATATGAGTAAGGATATACTACATATACAATACTGGAAATTTATAAACTTTAGCTAAAGCTTGATAGCTTATAGAGAGAGAGAGAGAGAGGCACTAGAAATATTCTAATATACTTCACTTGGCTCTTTTACAACTCTAGATTCAACTATTAAGCAGTTTTATTGGCATATTGGGTAAAGCATTGGCAAATATTTCTGCATGAAGAGAGTACATCCAAAGTCGCTAAATAAGTAGGGGTGGCTCAATATACATAAGCAAGGTGCGAAAGAATGCAGGGCCATACAAACAAGGGTGCAAAACTTATTGCATACACAAACATGAGGTCGCTCAACTTACAAATGCTCTCCGTGTCGTAAGAGGCGACTAAATTGCTGGGAGCAAGGGGCTAGTAACCCCCTTCTCCAGTATAAATTACTAAATACTGGGAGCAAGAGGGCTAGTGACCCCTTCTCCTGTATAAATTACTAGATGTAAAAAAAGAAAAACTTCCGTTTTTATTTTTAAATCACTCTGCCTTGGTGCGAGACGGCCGGAGCGTTGAAGACAAAAAAGTACAAAGTACATTTCTCAAAACCTCAAAAAAACAAGTGTAGCAATATGAGATCTTTTACTGACGACGTTTTGCCCACTGGCGAAAGAGATAAAATGTGGAGAGAGAATCCTAACCCACGAAATTGTAATTACACAATTGCAAATAAACCTTGGAATGGGTGGGATTCGAACCTATAGTGTATTAGGACTCACTTGTAAAGGGTTCGAACCCTACCCATTCTCTGGTTTGAGATAATCCTACATATACATAATGAACCTAGTAAAGTGAAGTCAAGTTAGGTTCATCTCTCCAGATTTATCAGTTTACAATGTCATCAATAAAGAAATACACTATAAGGCATTTCTGTCTTTTTTCATTGTCACTAATTTATACCATTCCTCTCTCCTCAAAAATCTGTTGACCTTTTATATGTATAACTTTGCCCATATGCAACCTGAGGACCTCCTGTACTGAGTTACTTGCAAGCATTGTGTGTGTGTGTGTGTGTGCAGACTGGATTTTGTGAGGATTCAGAGAAACTGGTTAGTTGGTCTTGAGTCCTGGAGGTGGCAAGCACAGTGCCTGCACTATGAATGAGGAGTGAGGATGATGCAGTTCAAAGGATCATTTGAGCTGTGATGTCTGCAAGCTTTTGTCAAGACAGTGGCTGATTGAATGATGGTGAATGTGTTTCCTTTTTCAGGCCTCCCTTTGAGGTAAAAAAAAAAAAAAATACAGAATAAGGTTGGGGTCAGACATGGGAAAGGGATAAATTGCACTTGGGAACATCGAGTATCTAACACAATTTAAAAAGTGAGTGTTTACTTTCGTTTATTGTATTAATGTTGGTAGAATTACTGACAATATGTTAAGTAAACCTTGGTAGTAGACTGGTAGATAACCACCCAGGGAGGTACTACAATCCTGTGGTAGTAGGTTGGTAGACTGCAACCACCCAGGGAGGTACTACAATCCTGTGGTAGTAGGTTGGTAGACAGCAACCACCCAGGGAGGTACTACCATCCTGTGGTAGTAGGTTGGTAGACAGCAACCACCCAGGGAGGTACTACCATCCTGTGGTAGTAGGTTGGTAGACAGCAACCACCCAGGGAGGTACTACCATCCTGTGGTAGTAGGATGGTAACAGCAACTGCCCAGGGAGTACTACCATCCTGTGGTAGTAGGTTGGTAGACAGCAACCACCCAGGGAGGTACTACCATCCTGTGGTAGTAGTTGGTAGACAGTAACTCCCAGGGAGGTACTACCATCCTGTGGTAGTAGGTTGGTAGAACAGCAACCACCCAGGAGGTACTACCATCCTGTGGTAGTAGGTTGGTAGACAGCAACCATCCAGGGAGGTACTACCATCCTGTGGTAGTAGGTTGGTAGACAGCAACCATCCAGGGAGGTACTACCATCCTGTGGTAGTAGGTTGGTAGACAGTAACTGCCCAGGGAGGTACTACCATCCTGTGGTAGTAGGTTGGTACACAGCAACCACCCAGGGAGGTACTACCATCCTGTGGTAGTAGGCTGGTAGACAGCAACCCCAGGGAGTACTACCATCCTGTGGTAGTAGGTGGTACACAGCAACCACCCAGGGAGGTACTACCATCCTGTGGTAGTAGGCTGGTAGACAGCAACCACCCAGGGAGGTACTACCATCCTGTGGTAGTAGGCTGGTAGACAGCAACCACCCAGGGAGGGACTACCGTCCTGGGGGTAGTAGGTTGGGAAAAGACAACCAGACATATGGAGGATTGCTTCCATTTTCTGTTCATAGTTAAGTTAGGTAGACTTGCAACCACCAGTAGGTACACTACCATACATGTAATAGCATATGGTAGACAGCAACCCTCCAGAGATACTTACCATCCTTGGTATACGGTTGGTATTTCCTCTACTCCAGGGAGGAACAGAACTTCCGTCCTGTCAAGTGGTGTAAAAGCAAAGCAACTGTAATTGTTTATTACAAATGAAGGAGAAATTGCCTGGTGTCCCACCTTTTTCCTGTTCATAAAACATAAGAATTCAGAAAAGGCCTGCACTAATCTACATTACACTTGGGCAACTTTCCTCCAGGACTATGTCAAAGCTCTTAACAAAACGCCCAATAAATGTCACATTAGTTTGCACTTTGTCTCTTTTACCTACATACTTTATTTCAACAAGCATGACAAACAAAGAGAAAATAATAAACTTTTTTAAAAAACCTAATGATACCATGAACAATTAATACTCAAAATCCATTGAGCTACTATATACCTGTCTTACCATATGAAAAATATACTGAAACACAGAAGGCACAAAGGATATGTAATCCTGATGAAGGAACACAGAATTTGAACAGGCAGAAAAAAAAAAAAAAAACCTGACTGAAAAAAAACAGCATTCAGTCAAGCAAAAAGACTCGAAACTGGTGAGTGCGACCCAAACGTGTCCAAAGTTCACTCTTCCAAGTGTGGATTTTTTGTGGACCCAAAGGATCAGTGGAGAGCAAAACGATTTGCCACCCAATAAAATGTCACATTAGTTGCACTTGTGTCCTTTTACCTAACATACTTTGATTTAAACAAGCATGAACAAACAAAGAGAAAATTAATAAACGTTTTTAAAAAAATAATGATACACAGAACATTTAATACTCAGATATTCCATTATCTTACTATATACGTGTCTTACCATATGAAAATAATACTGAACACAGAAGCTACAAAGGAATGAGTGTGAATCAGAGAAGGGAACACAGAATTTGACAGGGCAAGAAAAATAAAAACAAAACCCTGACTGAAAAAACTAGCGAGACATTTCAGTCAAGTCAAAAGAGACTCGAAACTGGTGAGTGGCGACCCAAAACGTCGTCCAAAGTTCACTCTTCAAGGTGTGGAATTTTTTGTGATGGGACACAACAAAGGTATACAGTGGACCCCCGCATAACGATCACCTCCGAATGCGACCAATTATGTAAGTGTATTTATGTAAGTGCGTTTGTACGTATATGTTTGGGGGTCTGAAATGGACTAATCTAATTCACAATATTCCTTATGGGAACAAATTCGGTCAGTACTGGCACCTGAACATACTTCTGGAGTGAAAAAATATCGTTAACCGGGGGTCCACTGTATTATTATTATTTTTTTTTCCAGCACATCAGTTGTCTCCCATCAAGTCAGGGTGACTTAAAAAGAAAAACAAGTTTTTTTTTTTAAATTTAGTAATTTATACAGGAGAAGGGGTTACCAGCACCTTGTTCCCAGCATTTTAGTCACCTCTTATGGCATGCATGGCTTACACAGGAAGGATTCTAACCCACTTCCCCATTTCTTCATGGGGAAGTGGAACAGAATTCTTCCTCCGTAAGCCATGCGTGTCGTAAGAGGCGACTTAAATGCCAGGAGCAAGGGGCTAGTAACCCCTTCTCCTGTATATATTACTAAATTTAAAAAGCGAAACGTTCGTTTTTCCTTTTGGTCCACCCTGCCTCGGTGAGATATGGCTGGTGCATTGAAAGAAAGATTATTATATTTATGTCACTCTGCCTCGATGGGATATGGCCAGCTTGTCAAAAAAAAAAAAAAAGGTAGAAAAAATGTAGGTAGTTGTGGTGTGCTAAAAAGGAGTCTCGAAAATCATCCAAGATGACTGCACTGAAGGTGGGTTTTGCAAGAACAACAGGAGACAAAGGCAGATTTTTACTACATCAAGAAAAGGTTGTGCTGGCAGGTCAAAGTTCAACTCTGGAGACACCTGAAAAAATACATTAGTAAAAACCA